GGTGTCAGAATGACAAGATTGATGTCCCTCCAAACTGCCAATATCCAAAAATTCCCATTTCCAGGACTCTCCAGCTAACCGGTTTCCTTGAATCTCTAAACAAAATATTACCATGCTCACACCCCAATAGCTCGTCAGGTCCCAAAAACCATTCATCTCCAAACAATATCTAACATGCTCATGCATGCTTGCTGAAAGTCCAAGCCCCTTGCCCAAAAAACCTCCTTTACCCCCTCCCTCCAACCTTTTCAAGGACAACCCCTACCTTGCCTTCCTTCCCCTACATATTTATACGCTCTCCAAGCCATTCTACTTTGCTTCATTCTCTCTAAATGACCAAATCACCTCAACCCCTCTTCACCCCTGTGACTAATACTTTTAGTAACTCCACACCCCCTTCTAATTTCCACACTATGAAGTCTCTGCATAATATTTACACCACACATTTCCCTTAGACACATCTCCACTACCTCCAGCCTCCTCCTTGCTGCAGCATTTACAGCCCATTGTTCACACCCATATAAGCGTGTTGGTACCACTATACTCTCGTACATTCCCTTCTTAGAGCTATACAATACATACACTGGTCAGTTATGTTAAAACTGCCTTATTTCTAACTGAAATTCTTCACCAAAGGCATTCTTGTACAGCTCTGTTGACAAAACTGTCCCTATATTATTAAATGTGCAAGTGGTTTGGTAATGGTTATTGGTAAGTGAGCTGAGGGACCCCATAATAAAAATTATAAGGCTGCTTGAAGACTCCCTATGTCCCCTCCCTCTTTCAACTTCTGGAGCAGCCTGTTTGGGAACATTGAGAATCCACATAACAAGCATATATAAGTCAGAAGGTAACAAGATCAGTGTGAAAGAAAGAGGGTACAAGCAAAGAAAACTGGAAAATCAGCATTACTCGAAACCCAGTGTGAAGTTAAAATATAGGATCTGTTATGTTTAGCAAAGAAGTTATATATGAAAAGAAAGGAAATGTCACTCGCCTCACAGTGCTGCTTCCAATCTACCACTCTGCAAATTTTAACAGTACAAATTTGCATCACAAACCTTGCTTTAATATACAACCCAGCCCTTTTACATAGTTGATAAATTGGACACATGTGCAACACTTGGGTTCTTGAATCATTTATCTTTTACATAGTGCTATTTCTTTATCTTTCAGGGTATATCTGCTTTATATATTCCCATGAGGAAATTAAAATAAATCCAGTCAAAACATTGTTATTTATTTAAAGAGCACATGATGCAGTACAGTACAAATACCTGCTTCTGAAGAATTGCATGTATCAGCTTGTAAGAAATGATTACATAATGTACATACACTTTCTCAAGTTATATAAAACTGTGTTCCCTTATATAAACTTCTCACTCATACCTAGTGACATCAGAAAAACAATCTGAGTGATGGCTAATATTTACAGTGACGAAAGAGCATCATGAGAGAGGAGCCATTATCCAGCAGGTGTTGTAAAATCAGGGGCAGTTTCTAGTAGAACTCTAGCCTACAACTGTCTTAGAAGAAAATGATATACAAGTTTGTCATACACATGAAGTACAAGAGCCACATCAAATATTACAGACACCTACTGTATAATGTTTTAACTGGAGGCAAGAGGCAGAAGATGTATTTGAGCATCATAAGGAAAACTATCCTTAATGAAGCTGATGCCAAGATCAAGCAATACCAAAAGTCTTGTCTATTTTTTTCACAATATACGTATCAAAATGGGAGGTGACTGTAATTTCTTTTCATAAAAATTGTCACAATAGCATCCAAGGTAGACAGATTTGTTGGACAATAGAGCATTTCATATTTACTTGTTAAGGAACCTCTCATACCTAATTTACAAAACAAATCTATTCAAGCATTCAGAGTTTGACTTTGAGCTTTGAAGAAATAGTAATAGAGACACTTCCTGCTTTTTGACAATTTCAGATTAAGTGTGTCTGGCAGGCACAGATGTCACTGTTCAAGATGTGAAATAAGGTTACCGTTTAACGGTGTACACAGGTATCGAGGACACGATCCATTTTGCTTAACATAAACAAGTTTACCTTTTCTGACCAGATGAGTTTGGTATTTTGTGAGTATAATAAAACTTCAGGTCATTTAAAGATTTGCCACACCGATGAAAGCAATGAAACATACTTATGCAAGTGTTTAGATTAGTAAACTTATTTTATGCAATTACATAATTTTTTAGCATAGTGAGGTTAGATTAGTATTGGCACTAAATAAAATAATTAGCTTATATAAAATGACTATAACTATATTTCACTGTTTTTTCTGGGTGGTGAACCTTCAGGTGATCCAATGCCTCTTCCAGTGAGCAGGGTAACATTATATACAAGTCAGATCCAATACATTTCATTGAATAAAAATATTCCAACTCCCATTCCAAAGATACCAACTAAATAGAATACATATGAAGAAAGAACTTATAAATTTAACAACTACATTCTCATTGCTGCATCAACACTTTTTTTTTTATAATCTGCAACTGATTCTGGTAACATATATGGATCAGAACAAATGTAAACAAAAACATTTTCATGGTAAATATAATATATATAAATTGTATTATCTACAAAAAAAAAAAAAGTCTTGAAAATCTTAGTGTTTAGCAAACACTTAAAACTACCATACTCATTGGTGGTAAATATTACCAAATGTGAACTATTATAAATAATGCTAATGAAACACAGGAGCTTTATATGCACAATATTATGATTATTGTTACTACCTTCATTTAGTTCAAAATCTATGAGATTTTTCTGTCAGTCATCAAGTTTACCAGCACTTAACTTATTAGGGTAGATGCAGAACACAAGCCGATGATGCACAAGTTTCAGTAATACTTTTGTTGAGTATGCGTGCATAAGTTCTGTACCATGATTTCATTTTTACAAGACATCATTGGAAATCATTAGGATATGTTTATATCACTTAAAAAAAAAAAACATCCAATAAAAAAGTATAATCTATTTTAAACAACTTAATAACATACATGATTACTAAAAAATGATTGATCTAAACTATTGGTAAGGAGAAAGGACTGATCTTTGGTTTTACTAGGAGCAGTCATTAAACAAAAAGTGAAATTAACTACACAACTGCACTATCTGTGCATGTTGTACAACTCATGGCAGTGGAATAAATACTATAGAAAACTGTAATAGTTGCCTTGTTGCTGAAGGCTTGACCCAAGAAACTGGAGCTAACTTTTTCCTCAGATCATGCCTGATTTACCTCCCATTTCCTAGGTGTTATATATGATCCTTATGAGTTTAAAGGCTTCCTCTTGAATATAACAGTTATAATTTAATCATTCATACTTATTTATATACTTGCACTCCTATTTCATCAAGAATACAAAATTTAATGCATGTCCATGGTTGATCAGATTTGTATATTATTTTTATCCAAAGAAAAAGCTACTCAATTAAAATTATCCAAGTTATGAAAATATATTCAAGCATTTTGTATTTGCCTTACAATCGAGATAAAAAAAAAATGCATCTCCTCATTAAAGTGTTAAGAAAATAAATGCTCCAAAAAGTTTTATGATCTCTGCTCAAAATGAGTTTATGAAAGGAGACAATTAAATGGGAAAATATGAAATATAAAATTGGGCAAAAAAAAAAAAAGTACGTATTTTAAAACTACTGTATTGGCAAAACAAGTATATAGAGGTCAAAATCTGTCACACGGTTAACAGTGAAGACCATACAGTTTTGCATTCCTGTGCCCTGACAGTGGAGTAATCCAAAAGTTACAACACAAATATCATTGGTGCACTACCTGCTGAAAAAGCAATAAAAATGTTATCAGAAAAGAAGAAAATACCATTTAGTCATGACAGACCCAATATATCATGTGTTTTCTTTAATTACTGTTAAGCATGCTTGCATTATCATTTACATATCACAATATTTTGTGCAGTAAAGAGATGCCAATTCAATATTTTGGATGGAACGACTAAATAAGGGATGTAAGACTTTAAATTTTTATTTTTTTATATAATGACATGCAATAAAATGGTTGCCATTGTGAAACCTACTTCTTGAAATAATTCCTTTTCTCTTAATTCATTCATTTTTTAAAACTGCAAAATATGTTAAAAGGTATAGTTAAATATACCCTGGCAAATAACAAAGGTTTTGGACATGGCAGCAAAGACATATTCTGAATTAGCATCTCTTCATATAGTAGAGAAAAGAGGTGCAAGCTATTCATGAATTGTATGCAAGGAAGATTGAGAGAGCCTCTTAATTTACTTGATAGATTATCACATATCAATTGATGTTGACAGGAAGAATTAAGACTTTGATGCTGATTACATTCTTCTTTGAGAAGTATGTCTGCAGCAATCTTTATTTTATCTGGGTGAAATTTAATTTCATTAAAAATTTCTTTTTGAAGAAAAATAAGCTTAAAAGCAAATTGCTTTATAGCAAACTTTTTTGTCCATGAAACCTCAGCATACTGCTTTGTCAAAAAAAATTCACTTTTAACTTAAAAGAATTTACCAAAAATATGTTTTTAAATTATTACAAGCTTACCATCTCTATTTTACTAATAGGGAAATAAGCACTGCTTAGGATTTTACAGAATTACAGCTTATCAAACCAATCATCAGGCAACTCGCTGGCTGCAAGTAGTACTGAAAATGAACATAACCGCAGCAGCACTCACATCAATGCACATATACAATAGATTATCACTACAATGACCAACTACCCAATAGGGTCTGAAGATTCCTGCCCTAGTCACTACAATCCTTAGGATTAACATCACACATTCTGGCAACCATGTGGTGGGGGATGGAGAATTCAAGACAACAATCCTCAAGTGTTGCACTCTTTCAACAACAGACAAAAAAGCAGCAGACACTTAATAGTTGCCAGAGCAGAACATGTTACTGGTTTTCCTGTACATATAAACCAGTAGTATGTTTCTTAAATCATAAAAGATCAATTCATCATAATCCCTAAAATAATAAATCTGATACCAAAATACGAAGTAGTTAGTAATTAAAAATGGGAGACAAAACAAATACATGATGAGATGAACCTAGTTCACAGGCAGTGATAGACAGCTATTGTTTTTATAAATAAATGAAAATTAATGAGAAGTAATGTCTGGAAAAGTTCTTTTTTTTTTAAATATACACAAAGCTAGTATAAATATGAAAATGTAATATAAATGACTATAATATTCCCAGTACCTGCTTGAAAGGGAGGACATACTATAAGACTTCCCCTTTAAATCACATATCAATGGAAATACAGGCATGCTTGGGAGAAAATTATACTGGTAGCTTAAAGCCTTGAGTAATGCCTGTTGTCAAAAATATGGCAAAGTAAAATCTCTTACAATGCAATTAACAACATTCCAGTTACATATTACAGAAAGACATGTGGCATAATTGTGCTGTGCAACATTATTCTCCCTGCTATTTGAGCTTCTTGGAATCAGCACTGATAGCATTTGAGCTAGTTTTTAAGAAAGGGCAAGTAACTTCAGTCATTCTTTGCAGGAGCAATAGACACAGGTCTAATTTCACAACTGAAATAAATGTTCATGGAGCACTGTAAATTCAGCTTCGAATGCTTCAAACTTGAACATGCATTTTTTCACTAGACATGCACTGAGTAACTACTATTACCAAGCACTGATGCTTTACTTAACAATTTCACCCAATAACCAATATTTAAAAAAAATCCTGTGTTACAAGGATAATTATTATTTCCAGTAGTTGATTTTCCAAGATAAAAAATATTACCAGTACAGTACTTATCAGTCATAACTTTTAATGAGAAAATCAACAAGCCCTACAAATATCTGCATATCATATGACAACTCTCAAATTACAAGACTAGCTTCAATAAGAAAAAATATTAAAATACACAATTCATGACCACTGTACTGAGAAATTCAAATCTTTTATATTGGAGAGAGCTTGAAATAATGGCCATAGCCTCATTCATTCAAGATCAATATATGTTGAAAGACTTCAAGCCATACTGAAGTCTTACAACATGTGACACACGTTGCCTGCAAACTACAGCCGAGCCCTGTTCCAAGTAGGCAGGGAAAGACAGAACTACTCTGGAAACTGGAATACACACACACTTGCTATATAGTATCACAATTAAAGTTCAGGATTATACAATTGTTTATTAGTATTTTCTCTGAACAGATATACATGCTTTAATGTATGTAGAAAGTATCATGGCTTATATTCTGTACATATAGTGAGGAACATTTGTCACTAAATCTTGACTAAAACCTTGAATTTTAGTTATATTGTTGACTGGAAGTTTTTTCTTTGTCTTAAAAATTTAAATACATATTTTCAGATTGAGGGCTAATGCATAGTGACCCGTGTAAGTCTCGGGGGTTCAGGTGGGGTTGGCGGTGGCAGAGAGCCTCCCATTTCATCTTCACTCTCGGTAAGTGGAGCCAACTGAGTCTGTTCTGGAGGCAGCATGGTGGTGTGAGTAGAATCTGACTGAAGTGTTCCATTGTCACCAGTTGGGTATGCCTTGCGCTGAAGACTCTGAATATACTCCTGTAGAGCAAGCCAGAACATGATGATGTAAAAATATGTACTTTGCAATGTTTATTTGAATTTAACTAGGAAAGCTTCCTTTATCATTATGATCATTTAAAAATTAAATAGGCAAGTCAATAAACTCAATTTAATTTTAAAATTTGAAGTTAAAAACAACAGTTAAAACTAAGTACTAAATTCAAAGATAAATAAGCAAAGATTGAAAAAAAAATGGTTTCATGCTAATTAATCTGTCACTTTAAAATACTATAGTTCCTCTATATTTTCATGCAACCTGCACCACATGATTTAATTTGCTATAGTTAGTAATTACAGTATATTCTGTAATTAGAGGGTGAATTTATGCAACTACACTCAACCAACTTCTTCTAATAAGGTGTAACTATCAACTAACACTAACAGATACTTTAAAAGAACAAAGCAGAAAAAAAAAAGCATTATCTTACCTTAGGTGTACATTCATACTTATTATTGACATCATTGTCCTGAATATTTTTTAGATATCTCGACCTCAGCTGTGCATTAAGCATGGAAACTTTCAAAGCAAATTATAGAGAAGTTTACTTTTAACTAAAATTCAGTTAAGGAAGCTTTCAAAGCAAACTTAAAAAAAAAATTTACTACTATATCAAGTAAATGTTGAGCAACGAAATAATGGCAGCAAAGAATCAATTGGTAAAAGTATGTAAGATTTAACAAAATACCAGTCTATTAGAATTTTAAATGCAGTATAGCATTTATAGATTTAGTAATAAATAGCACAGGAAAATTTTTTATCCATTAACCCTTTCAGGGTCCACAGGCCCTCTCAGGGTCCCCCAAATTTCAAAAAAAAAAAAAAATTATTTTTCTTGTGAAAAGATAGAGAATCTTTTCCCAGTCATAATGACACCAAAAGTATGAAATTTGATGGAAAACTTACGAAATTATGCTCTCGCGAAGTTAGCGGTCTTGACGATGTTTACGCATCGGCGATTTTGCCCACTTTGAGCCCTATTTTCAGCCAATTCTAGTGTACTAGTCGACAAAAATCATAACTATTTCGCTAGAACTCCATTTTTTCTATCGAATGAGTACAAGAAACCACTGATTTACCCATTTCAACTATCCAATACAGTGGTCAGAATTTAGCAATTTTGCCAATTTCACAAGATGCCAATTTCCAAATAGGGTCCAGAATAAACAAGAAAGACATTCCTGGCACTAAAATAACATTTCCTCTGTTCATTAGTCACGTCCCCACGCCCCTCTTACATTCTTTTGCTTTCCATTTTGAATTTTTATTCTCACAAAAAATAGAAGATTTACCGTTATGCAGACTACTGCATTAGTGTAGAAATGGTATAAATAATATTGGCGCACTTGTGAAAGAATATTAGACTCGCCAGTTAACGTGTATTGGACGCTTAGCATGATTTGTTTACTTTTGAACTTGGGTAAAAATCGAACATTTCTGCTACTTTGAGCTCAATTTCAAGGTACTTTTCATTGTAAAACCAGTCAAAATCATCTCAATTTCTGTAATATGTTTTCCATTCTATAAAATGAGACCAGGAAAACTAGAATACAACAATAAATACCATACAAAAATACAGTGCAAAGTCGCTGTTTTAATCCAAAAACACGGTCGAAGTTTTTTTTTCTCATTACGCACTGTGTGCTGCAGGATTTTTTTTATACTGTGCACACTGACCACATAGACCCATTCTTTCATATGTAGGCCTACCAGCTTTCTCTCACTAGATTTGAAGGCGCTAGAATTTATGAGATCTAGTACGTCGAGGACCCTGGCGCGTAAGCCGTACTAGTACGGCCAACACCCTGAAAGGGTTAACAATATATAATTTAGCTCTTCTGTAAAATTTATACAAGGGGTAACTTGATGCTGGTAAAGTTCATTTGATCAAAAAAATTAAAGATAACCCTTCTGGTTGTTGAATCAGACCTGATTTATTTCCATTTCCAGGTACTATACGAGTCCTATAGGCTTATTGCTTCCTAGTGAATATAATCATTCATGAAATCATATGTAAAGAGGCCACTTGCTTCAATTAATAAGGGATGAGGTTTTGTAAAGTAGCAGGTATTAGGGAAAGTAATTAGGTTGTAGGAAAGAATATAGAAGGGCTAACTGTAAGAGAAACAGTGATGAAAAACATTAGAAATGGCAGCATTAAGAGACCATGCACTTTGAAGATATGGTCAGAAATGTTTGAAGAATACTGTATATAGTATATAGGGCCAAAAATACAATACTATCACTAGATGTTAGTATCTAGAAGTTTCTAAAGTTACCAGTCATTCTAGTTTCTACAAACAAATTTGGTAGCGCCAAAAAAAAAAAAAAAAAGTTTTCTCCCTTTGAGCAATTTGTTTTTAACAGTGATCAATAATATTTACATTCAAGATGCAATACATGTGTAAGTGCCACTGTGTAATGTATGTGATAAATACACTTAGTCTCAAATTAATATATCAAAAAAAAAAAAGAAAAAAGCCAGCACTGAGGATGTCTGAAGTACCATTTGAAGCAAGTTCATTGTTACTGCACAGAGTAAGCTGCATTAAAATATATATATTGCATTTTATACTGTGTGATTTGTACTGTATGTCATGTGTCTACTCATTGAGTTAGTTATTTACAGGGATTGAATCTCAAAACTATGGATTCCTTACCATTATTGCCATACTTGCTCATTTTTAGTATGGGGCATCCCTTTGGGAATATTGCAGTGATTACGTTAGAGTTTTGTTTCCAAGAGCAAAGATACTCAGTTACCCCTTTGTTACTGTGTCCTTTTTCCTTGAGGGAAACCCCCTTGATACTGGTGAGGGACATATGATCAAAGGAATTGGACCTGATTGCTTCCCAGGCCTCCTAGGCAGTGTATGATCTCTACAGATTTTATTGTAACCCTATGAATGTAATATTACTCTATTCCTTAAGTCAGGGGGAGCAACTTCTCCCCCTGAGCACATTTTTGAAAGGTGGCACCTCTTCAGCAGTTCTTTAACTCTTTAGCTCACTTGTGCGACAAAAGACAAATCTCTTTTTTTTTTATTGCGTGGCCTTGGAAGAACTTTCTGGACTCGTTACTTCATTCAACTAACTTCCTAGTGTTTTGAACTGTCTGCTCAGTCTCGTGATGCATTGGTGGCATCTGGGAACCAAAACAAACCGTGACTTCGCAGCCTCCTCTCTGATGCTAGACAATCCCACAGCACAAATGAAGGCAGTTTTTTGGAACTTATTAAGGTGTTTGCCAAAAATGATACATTACTGGAGCAACATTTATTAGTGAGTGAACGAAATGCAACATATCTCAGCCCTGACATACAAAATGACCTGGTGCAGTCCTTATCAGCTGAGGTTCTGTCAAAGATAATAACTGAAATGAAGGTGGTTAAGTACTTTCCAATAATTGTTGACTCTACTATTGACAAATTTTTATTATCCTTGCAACAGTACATGGTGATGCAGTGAAACAATTTATACAATTCAACAAATTATCTGAAGCAAGGGCTGGAGATTTTTTCAACATTCTTCCAGTAATCAAAAACTTAGGCCTGTCAATCACTATGTGTTATGGGCAGTCTTACAATGAAGCAAGAACCATGACGGGTGAAATATCTGGTCTCCAAACAAAGATTAGACAAAAGAGAGTGTTGTAGCTGCTTCATATATTTTTCACAATACTGTACTTAGTTTTTTTTTTTATTTTACATTTAAAATTAAAATAATTAAATAACACACGTTTTTATTGTTTTGAGATTTGAGCTTAGTGTAAAACTTTTTTTTTTATTGTACAGTAGACCCCCAGTTTTCGTAATTAATCCATTCCAGAAGGTTGGCCTAAATCTGAAATGGCAGAAAACCGAAGCAATATTTCCCATAAGAAATAAGGTAAATCCAATTAATCCATTTCAGACACCCAAAAATATCAACAAAAAGTACATTTTATAGAGAATAACTATAGTTTTACATACAGTAAACAATGAGAAATAAATATAAATGACTAATTTTAATGATAAATGAACATTACATACCTTTATTGAAGACTCTTGTTGGTGAGTACTATTTTTTTGTAGTCCCTGAGGGACTACATCCCAGTGTATACCTACCGGCTACATACAATGTGGTCTACAGCCATATTATTACCATCGACGTACCATGTTCACTGAGTTTAATTGTTTCTAACAACTGCTTTTAGATGCCATCATAAACAAAGGGAGAAGTAATGAATAATTCATGCCAAGAATTGTAAACAAAAGCCTTATGTACTACTAAGGGCGGTTACTGGGCCAAGGCAGATTCGTACGTGTTTTCTCTGAAGCTAGACCAGAGAAAATGTAACGTTTACTCTCCACCCGACCCCACCCCTCGATAGCATGTCTTTGTGTTATGTAATGTGTTCTTATCGTATAATACTGAAGAAAATATCATAGATGGATTAATGAAAATGTCTATATTAACCTAAAATAAGACATTTAATGTGCCCAAGAGTGAGTCATGAACGTATGAGCAGCCCAGGTGGATGCATCTGGTACTGTCAATTTCCCAGCTGACGTGCAAAACCTGGGGGTCCACTGTAGTATTTTTATTTTAAATCAAACATAACAGTTATGTACTTCCTTTAAAACTGTATCTTCCTTGTGTTTTGATTTTAAAAACAAGTGAATACAATGGAACTTGAAATATTGAACTGCTCCCAGCTCGACCAATTATGTAAGTGTATTTTTGAGGGTCTGAAATGAACTAATCTAATTTACATTATTCCTGATGAGAATAAATTCATTTGGTAACGGCACTTGAACAGCCGTCTGGAACGAAGAAAGTTCGATATTTGAAGTTCCACTGTATGTATATGTACGTATAATGAATTTAAAATTATTCAGTATGTGTCACGGCATTTTTTTCTTTTTTTTATATGCGTGCTTCCCCTAACTTTAGAACCTGGTTATGCCCCTGCCTTACATCATTGCTTTTTTGGTAATAG